TTTTGTGTTGTGGGGGGGGGGGGGGGGGGGGTAGAATAAATTAAAAAGTAATGGAGACCTGTTGGATGTTGTATTTTCAGACAAAGTTCATAATAGACATTTATTATTTATAGACTATATTGTGTTCTCTTCAATTTATTCCTTATATTTTCTTTACTTGGTCTGATAAATTTTACCTGCAGAAACCCTGCAATAATGACCTAGAGAAAGAGACAAAATAAGAGCCGATGATATTGTTTTAGATTCAAAATATAAAAGTTAAATGCATTGTGGAATAGAGTAGTCCTTGAGGTTTGCATACTGTGTATTTTAGCAAAAGCAGTAAATCATTTCATGCATGCAGAGAATTCACAATCTGTGAACAATATGCATACTGCAAAAATAGTATGGAAGTATGCCATTCCCAAAACATCCTTGTTCCGCTTATGCTGGGAAGACTAAATATTTCATCTCCGCTGGTTAAAGGGGGATGTCATTGACACACATACATGGCCTTGGGTCTGACATAGAGACAGAGAAAAGCAGAACAAGAAAGGGAGGACGAAGAGAGAAATAGAGGAAGGGGGAGATGGGGTGTAATTGAGGGTTGTTGGTGTGTTATCAGTGGTCAGCGACAGTCCTGTGAACATCCCCGAACATGCGCCCGTCCGGCTCTCACCGGAAAAGTGCCTCTTTTTATTGCTTTGACAATAATGATTCCTGTCTGTTGCATGCATGAGTGTGTGTTGTACGTGTGCGAGTGTGTAGTCGCACCAGCCAGGAGCTATTTTTTGCAGCCATTAAATTCAGAAAGGTAAAAATAGCCAGAGTGTGCCAAAATGGAGGGAAGCCCTGGAGAATATGAAGGAACGGATGGATTTACAGCAGGAGACAAGAAAAATGGAAGATGGGGAAGTGAAGGGGGAGGGATGAAGAGTATTAAAACCACTTTAGATGGGAGGAGAAGGAAAGGACATGAAGAACAAGAGATCATAATAACATATGACCAGGTTAGGACTTGCTCAGCTGAAAATGAAAATACTGGTATTGTTCACTCACCCTCATGTCGTTCCAAACCCGTATGCTGTTAATTTTTTTGTGGAAAATAAAGGGAGATATTTTGAAGAATGTATACCATGGAGATGTAAAAAATCTTGCCTGAACATTTTTTCATGAATAAAATATTTAATTAATAAAAATAAAATGGTTAATTTTTAAAATGTTATAAACAAATTTAGGCATCACAACAACATACGAAAAATAGTATAATATAGAGTAGTATAACAAAAAAATGAATATTCATTTTGACATTTGCTAAAGATTTTTTTTTTTAAAGTCTAATTATTAACTTAAGAAATGAAGACAAAATAATATAGAGAAGAATATAGAATGTTGTAACAATATGCGGTTGGTAAACCTAAGAATGTAAACTGTTCGTTTTAGATCAAATGGCGGCTTTCAAAAGCGGTTTAAGAGGAGTTTAATAGCAGGATATTAGAGAGAGGTTGAGGCTCAGAGATGAGGGGGAGTTGTAAGGAGAGAGAAAAATGAAGAATGTAAGGAAGAGAAGAAAGAGGGTGAGCAGTGACCCAGAACGCAGCAGCTCTGTGCTGACACCTCACACACACACGGCACTCAAATAGAAACAATTAGTCCAGATCTCTCTAACGGCCCTCAATTAAGGCTGAAGAGAGGGAGAGAGGGATGAAAACACCAGTGAAAGAGGGAGAGAGCGAGACAGGTGCAGAGAGAAGATCCAGACAATGTGTTGAGTGAAGAGGACAGTAAATCAATGTGTGTGTGCCAGAGAATGTGAGTTTGAGTGTTTACAGGCCTGTTCACACCGAGAGCTGCTCTAAACGTGACGGGAATGACTGGAGAACTATTCACACAGAGCGCGACATAAAATGTTGTCTGATTTGAACATTACAACCTAAGATTAAATATACAAACAAATCTGACATAAAATATTGATTTTGTTTAAACGCAAAACTTGCAATACAATTTACCGTGGTTTAACACAAAATACAACCCATCTGACAAAGATTTTACTTGTTTTAGCAGAACATTAGATTTGTCTGACAATAACATCTCTTGCAACGCAAAACATAACTTACAATCTCACATTTTAGCATAAAAGAAGAAAAAGACCTGTTATAGTTCGTTCCTGGTGCTAACAGGCCTTATTTGCTGAGATCAACAGGTCTCATCGGATCAACTGGCGCGTTTACGTGACACTGTTTTCAACTAAATTTAACTTTTTATGCGTTTTGGCCATTCATTTACACGACGATGGCATTTTGGTGGCTTGAAAACGATACTGTTATCACCTCAGTGTAAAACGTTACTTTAGTGTCATTTTCTACTGTGAAACAATGGCCCGGGCCAGTGCTGCCACCTTGTGGAACAACTGAAAAAACTAGTCAATGTGACCTCTGCGTACATAGTGCGACCGCTGCATGTGCGACCTCTGCATACACAGTACAAAAATAAAATACGTGCGTACTATTCTGATGACAAAATTTGCGTCACACTCATTGTACACCGACCCTCGCGTACACATAAAACCGAAGTATACTTTGGCCTTAAGTGTGCATATGCAGACAATCGTGTGTGAAATATGCATACTCACTAATAAATCATGACTTACCAATAAATTTTTTACTAAAATCGCAGTTATAAAGATAATAACACAGATGGCCGATATAATTGTAATTACTTTCAGAACGATTTTTTCGAGCTTATGAATGGTAAGAACATTGACAACCAATCAGAATCCACCTGACATTAAAGAACAATTAAAGAGCATTTATAGCGACATACGACAAAACTGCAGCATGCTTAAGATAAACTGAACATTATTAGTGTAGACGCCATTATATTTATCGTTGTACTTATCCTTATAGGTATCATTCTTAGTGTGAACAGGCCTTAGAAAGGGATAGTTCACCCAAAAATGCAGATTGTCATTTCCTCACTCTCAAGTTCCAAACATAGATATGTACACGTAGATGCCTCATTAGCGACTGCTGCAATATAACAAAGAGTGAAAAATTTAAGGGGGTCTGAATACTTTCCGTACCCACTGTATGTACACGTAGATGCCTCATTAGCGACTGTTCCTATGGGCCGCTATACGCAAGCCATCCGCCATATTGGAAGGGTCAACTTAACGCGCCATTCACCATAATAATCAATGAATATTCGAAGATGCCTCAATCCTGCACAGCCGATGGTCTTCGAACCCTTGAGTACCATGGCCGAGAGAGCTCAATGTGCTGCAACTTAGAAAACACGTGCAAATGGAAAAAAACACCAGAAAATTTGTAAAACATCTTCGTCAGTTTGACAGTGCTACAAATACTTGCAATAACCAAATACAGAAACGAGCTGCAAAAACAGAAACGCGCTGCAAACACTATTTAAATCCTGGCTGTTTTTACAACCATCGGCTGTGCAGGATTGTGGCATCTTCGAATATTCATTGACTATTATGGTGAATGACGTCAAGTTGACTGTTGATGGCGGACTACGTGCTTGGAGCGGTCAACTGAGGCATCTAGGGTTCCAAACCTGTAGGACTTTCTTTCTTCTGTTGAACGCAAAAGATGTTATTTTGAATAATTGCCGGTAGCCGTTGGCATTCCTCGAGGATCTTGGGTTTTTAGAGAGCGTTAACATTAAAAGCGTGCATATTTGTAAATCAGCTGCTGTAAAACAGAACATGTGCAATGCGGTCTGAAGAATGGGGCCGATATCCCAAACTCAACACTAATCATATCTGCTGCCTACTAACGGTTTCTCCTTCTTGTGTTTCCTCTCGCTCTCAACTCTTACTTTCTGCACTTTACTGCTCTCTCTTTGTGTGTCATTTTCTTGGTGAAGGGAAGGAAAAATGGTGGTTCTCTCTCTCGCGATCGGATTGGCCGAGCAGGACGACTTTGCCAATCTGCCAGACCTACAGGAAGTACCGCCCAGTCAAGAAACCCCCCCTGACAAGAGGTATCTGTCAGAGTGTGTGCATGTGTGTGTGTGCATTGAGAGGTGTATTATATGTTTGACCAACCCACTGCAAGCGGTTGAGCACCCGCCAGAGAGCACGGCATTGTGGGTAATACCCATCATAGCGTGGATTTGCTACCGGCTCGGGGCAGCAGTTACAGACACAGCGGTGCGTTGTATTCTCACCTGCTCTCTCTTTCAAGTCATAATGAGAACCAGTAGTTTCTCTCAAGCTCTGTTCCAAAACGCTAGTGAGCCATCATGCTATTGACTGCCAACATGGGCAGCCAAATCTCATAAGTGAGTTATTTGTAGTGCACTTCATAGGCAGCAGCTCTGCATTGCAGGTGAACCTCACAAAAGAGCTCTACTCGTGAGAACTGACTCTTAATTGACTGCGGTAAAGTTTAACATTAGCATATTGGTAATCTAATGATGTGATACTCTAATAAACATTGGCGATACAAAGTTTTGGGTAAAATTGATTTCAGTATTGATCTAATAAGTATTAATACAAAATAATGCTAGAAAATGGCGCACAAGAAGTTTAAAAATAGTTTGATGTTAGCATGTTGCTAACTAGCGATAATGATAATTACAAGACAGTGTTTTTAATTGATTACTATAGTAGGATTAGCATGTTGTCATGTTTACATATTCTAATAAGCCTTAAAAGTATGTTGCATATACAAATTACAAGTAAAAGTCGATTTTTAATTTGAACTATTTTATTGATTCTTTTATTCTTTTGTTTGATGAAAGCATGCTACTATAGGCTAACAGCACAATACTCAGCATAAAAAACATAGTACAGACATGTTCGGAGTAAAAATAAATTAACTTCTTGTATTTCAATGATTAGCAAACTACAGGAAAAATGGCACTTTCAATTGATTTTATCATAGCAAGGTTAGTATGTTGTCATGTTTACATTGTGTTATATAGTAGGATTAGCATGTTGTCATGTTTACATATTCTAATAAGCCTTAAAAGTATGTTGCATATACAAATTACAAGTAAAAGTCGATTTTTAATTTGAACTATTTTATTGATTCTTTTATTCTTTTGTTTGATGAAAGCATGCTACTATAGGCTAACAGCACAATACTCAGCATAAAAAACATAGTACAGACATGTTCGGAGTAAAAAAAAATTAACTTCTTGTATTTCAATGATTAGCAAACTACAGGAAAAATGGCACTTTCAATTGATTTTATCATAGCAAGGTTAGTATGTTGTCATGTTTAAATTGTGTTACTCTAATAAGCCTTAAAAGTATGTTATACATACAAAAAATAGTCAGTAAAATAGTGAGTCTTTTAGTTATATTGAACTATTGTATCAGTTATTTCCAGTATCGATGCTCTATTTACAAGAATACTAAAATTGATTCTGTAAGAGTTTGATGATAAAATGCTACTAAGCAAACAATGCAATACTCAAATTAGCATAAAAATACATAGTACAGCTAAGTTTTGAATAAAATGGTGCATTTTAAACATATATTGCAGTAGTTTGATAGTGTTGCTAAACAGCGATACTCATGAGATCTACAGGAGAAATGACACTTTCAGTTGATTTTATTATAAGATGACGTTAGCATGTTGTTGTGTTTACATTACTATTCTCTAATAAGCCTTAAAATATGTATCTCATACAAATGAGTGAAATAGTTCAATCTAACTAAAAAGATTGACTATTTCATCAATTATTTTCAGTATTGACGCAAAAACAGCTCGGTTTACAAGAATACTAAAATTGATTAATTATACTAACAGAGTTAATGATAGCATGCTGCTAAGCTAACAACTCAATATTCAAATTAACATAAAAATACATATACGGACAAGTTCTGAATAAAATGGCGCATTTTTAACTATTTATATTCCAATAGTTTGATGTTAGCATGTGACTAAATAATAATACGCAGGAGAACGACAGGAGAAAATTTTTTTATTATAGCATGACGTTAGCATGTTGTCGTTTTACTTTTTTTTTTAATGTTTTATTGCGATACTCTTAATACGCCTTAAAAATATGTTGCACATACAAATGAGTAAAATAGTCTGTTTTTATTTCAGCAAATCGTTTTTAATGATACTTTTAGTATTGATGCAAAACGCTCAGTTTACTACAACAAAGTTCGATGATAACATGCTAATGGCTTAATACTCAAATTAACATAAAGATACATAGTACAGATGGATTTTGTGTACTTTAGTATAGTTTTTACTGTTTATATTCAATATTTTCAATACGTAATTACATGTTGCCATCCACCATCTTAAAGTATTCACTTAAGTGCTTGTCACACGGTTTTCTTCGTGAAGGATGCAATGCTGCCTTAGATTTGTGTCTGAACTAGATTTCTTGCGGCTGTGTTTTTTCTACCTACCTTGTGGAACAGGGAACGCGCCGGATGAATGCTGTCCAAGTAGGCGTCTCGCTAGGTTTTGGAAGAGTGCTTCAGAATGGCTGATACTAAGTAAATGAACAAGCTGTACGGTCGGCTGTATGTCGGTAATAAGTGCTGAGCTCATTAATCATGCTAATGAGCCTCACCTGAGGCTAACGGCTGTTTGAACGCCATTGGTGGCTGTGTGGGCCAGAGCTCAGCCAATGAGGTGTGAGATACAGTGACTTCCTTCACGCTGACACGTGAACTGTTGTGATCTTGACTGCACGTCTTGCCTTGTTTATTTCTGTTCTTCTTTCATCCTCTGACTTTAGTGTCAGATCCTTTTATCTCTGCTCTCCTCGAACACGTCTCCCAAGTTCACTGTTTTTCTCTTGTCTTTTATGCTTTATGCTGTATGTTTGTGCTCTCTCACTAGGCGTCTCATTAGTTTTACTTTTCCCGCTCTGACGTATGTTTCTGAATGGAAACTGTGCAGTATGCAGCCTAAGTTGCATGTGAAACAGTGTGCATTATGAACCGATAAATATTTCAAATAGATTGCTGCATTGTCACATGACCTCACTGAATTCAATAAATTATTATTTACATAAATACGTACAGTATATATGCAAATTATTTTTACATTTTTGACTTTAAATTTACTTGTAATTATAAATGAATGGTAAAAAACAGTTAACAAAATAACCATATTTACATTTAATATTTTGATAGGTATGTGCAAATAGATATGTATTAAAAACCAAGAGCAGAATATATATATATATATATATATATATATTATATATACAAATATATAAAATAAAAAATAAAATATAAATATTTATAATAAAAATATAATATATTTATAATTGTATTAAAAAATATACATATAAGAATAAATTA